TACTACATTCATCCCTCATACACGCCCCTACACTACAGATCATCATCACTCAAGTCCCAATTCCACCTTATCCTCCCAAATACAACACAATGACTCCATCCCTCCTCCCAACAACAGCCCTCATCTCCGCCATCCTCGGCATCACCGCCCATCTAACCTACTTCATCCATGCCGACCTCGAAAAACACGTCGTCTTCCTCGCCAACTGCCTCATCTTCTGGCCCGTACTCGGTCTACTAGCCCTTTTCATCCTCGGATACAGAGAGATATCCCAATGGATCGGACTAGCGATACTGACCTTTCATTCCTCGCTGTTCGCTTCTATAGCGATCTATCGATACTTCTTCCACGCGCTAGGCGGGTTTCCAGGTCCGGAGCTAGCAAGGGCCACAGCGTTGTGGGATTTCAGGAATACAGTGCTGGATGCGAAATGGTACCTTAAAGTGAAGGAGTTGCATGGGGTGTATGGGGATGTTGTTCGGATTAGTATTTCTCTCTACCTTTGTTACTCGTGTGGTTTGTACAGTATCTGACGGATTAGATAGAGCCTAGGGAGATCTCCATCAACAATCCATCTGCGATAAAAGACATTTACGGCGTGGGTACGACATGCGTCAAGGGACCATTCTACGATCTACATTATCCGCATCGATCATTGCAGATGGCGAGGGATAAGGCGTTTCATTCGAAGAGGAGGAGGTTATGGGATCGGGGGTTTACGTCGAAGGGTATGTCTCAGACACTTTATCTGCCGATCGAATTGCTGAGTGATATGACTAGCACTCGCGGGCTACGAACCCTATCTCCTAGAGCACTGCAAGGATATAGTCCAGGTTATTGAATCTCGATCATTGCAAGCACAGGAGACCACCGCGCTAATTGATGGGTTTGCATGGGACTCGATGGGGATATTTGCGTTTGGGAAATCGTTCAACATGCTGCATGGGGAGCCGCCGAAGATGCTGCAGATGATGAGGAAGATGGGACGCGGGGCAAGTGCCTTGTTGAGCTCGAGTTGGCTGGTTATATTGATGCGGGGGATGGTGGGTGTGAGGCGGTTTACGGATAGATGGTTGGAGTGGTGTGCGCAGTGTGTGGAGGAGAGGAGTAGGGTATTGTTGCATTCACTGTCTAGTATCAGGTTGTGGATGGTTTAGGCTGATGTTGGTTCAGGTCGAAACCGATCGCCGGGACCTCTTCAGCTATTTGATCGAGGAGTCAAGCTCGGAGGGCGACCAGTCTATAGGTGGCGTTGATGGGGATCTTGCTCACGATTCAGAGCTCGCTATTACGGCTGGCAGCGACACGGCTGCCAGTACCCTCAATGCTTTGTTCTATCTCCTGGCACGACATCCGGAGAAGCTACGTCGGCTGCAGGAGGAGATAGACTCTGCTGTGCCAGCTGGGGAGGAGCTGTGTCATGCGGCGTTGGTGAAGAAGCCGTACCTGGAGGGGTGTATCAATGAGAGTCTGCGTCTGTGTCCGGCTGTTCTGAGCGGATTGCAGCGCGAGACAGGGCCAGAAGGGCTTCGAACGGCGGGAGTGTATATACCTCCCGGGATGATAGTGTCTGTGCCGACGTATACGATTCAACGAGGTATAGTATTAATCTTATTTTGTGAAGATAGTAGCTGACATCGTTTACGTCTAGACCCGCGCAACTTCCCCCGTCCAGACGAGTTCATCCCGGAAAGATGGTCCACGCAGCCAGAGCTAGTCATCCACAAAGAAGCGCTCAATGCGTTCTCAAGCGGCACATACTCATGCGCAGGGAAAGCATTCGCGATGATGGAGATGCGACTACTCGTTTCCACGATCGTAAGACACTTCGACATTGAGTTTCCCCCAGGGGAAGGACAAGAACCGCTAGATACACTGGGAGGAACAGGTCCATTAGACTGTTTCACAACACATATCCCACCATATCGTCTTCTCTTCACAAAGAGACAGATAGATAGATAGATAAACTCCAATACAGAACTGTGTTACTCCACACTGAATCGTAGGATGTCATGTAGTTATTAATGATGGTAGGCATCTACCGTTACTGTTTCACTCCATTCACAGGCCGCATCCGGCCAGGCAGGAAACACGGTTCAAGGCAGGGGTTTCAACCAAGGAAACTCAACTTAAAGCAGCTCGAATTCCGTCTGACTTCAAACTTGCTTTATCCCTGCTACTAGACTACTACTACTACTACCCCTTTCATGGGAGGTATCATATTATCTATCCCTTTTACTTCCGTCTCACTTTGATCATGGCCTCCGAAGAGGAACAACAGCGCACAGGCCAACGGCCCAGCATCAGCATGTACGATCCCGCCCGAGACCGCTGGGAGGAGCAGCCTGTGGTTGCTGCTGAACCAGCGCCAGTGTCTGCTTCCATCGAAGCAACACCATCTCAGACGGATGAAGCGAAACCGGTGAGTTATAAGCTTTCCTATATGTATCAAGTCGAGAGTTCTCTGCAGTGGAGAGAATAAGTGGATCGTTCAATCCACTGCGAAACTAAAGTGGCGCTTACGCTCGGCGGAGGCGGTGATTACTTATTCTTCCCGCAAATAAAAGACTCCGAAAAGAAAATGCTCCTGCGCGTCTGATTGTCTCTCGCGACATTCTTTTTTTCAGTGTTCCATCTTCTTTCCCATTGCAGGATATTTGACGCTGATTGTGGATGTTCATTGGGGTTCTTTTTTCCATTTAGGTTCATGATCCTACTGTGACTTCTACGAGTGAACCTCTTCCTCTTCCCCAAACTACCACTACCGAGTCTTCTCAACAACCGGAGCAACAGCAGCAACAGCAGCAGAAGCAGCCACCTATCCCGACACCTCCATCCTCCCAATCACGTCGCAAACACAAGATAAACAAAATGGGTGACTACTCTCGCTCTGGGTCTGCCGATGTCTACGCCGAGCAGAGCTCTCCTGCGGCCGATAGCCACAAGCGCAAGCTCGAGGACGAGACGTCGGAGCAGCAGCCACCCGCCGACCAAGTGAACGACCGTCCTATTTCAAAGCGTAAGCGACTCGAAGAACGACACCAGAAGCTCCGGAAACGCGGACAGGCACCTCCCTCGGCTTACTCGCGCCGCGATGGCGACGAGACAGCAGCACGCGCAGCACCACAGCCCCGATCCCCCTCACCGCCCCTTCCTCCGCGGTCTCCGTCGCCCGAAGTGCAGGCGCGTCAGCGGAAACGACCCGGTGGCGGAGCGCGGCGCGGCCTCGTGGACCCGCAGACGCTGCGGCGGCGACAGGAGGAGCGGGAGCGCGCGCTGGAAGAAGATGCGATGCGCAACTCGCAGAGCCGAGGCGTGACGGATATCGTGAGACAGCATTACAATGCGGTTCCGCAGCGGGGACGGGAGTGGCGCAAGACGGAGAGTAAGATTAAGGGGCTACGCAGTTTCAATAATTGGGTGAAGAGTACGTTGATTCAGAAGTTCTCGCCGGATGAGGAGTTCGTGGCGCGGGCGATTGGGACGAAGGATTGGGCGGATGGAACTGGGCCACCACCGATGGAGGAGAAACGGTTGCTGGTGATTGATTTGGGATGTGGTAAGGGAGGTGATCTGGGCAAGTGGCAGCTTGCGCCGCAGCCGGTGGATCTGTACGTGGGACTGGATCCGGCCGAGGTGTCGATTATACAGGCGCGCGAGCGGTATGCGGGGATGCGTTCGGGTAGGGGGCCTCGTGGTGGTGGTGGACGGAGGGGAGGACCGCCGTTGTTTCATGGCGAGTTCCGGTCGAAGGACTGCTTTGGGGAGTGGTTGGGAGACGTTGATATTGTTCAGCAGGTGGGAGTGGATCCGAATGTTGGACCGGGAGGGTCGATGATGGCGTCGCGATGGGGTGGGGGTGGGTTCGATGTGGTGGCGTCTATGTTTGCCATTCATTATGCGTTTGAGAGTGAAGAGAAGGCCCGACAGATGCTGCGCAATGTGGCGGGATGTTTGAAGAAGGGTGGCCGGTTTATTGGCGTGTGTCCCAACTCGGACATTATCAGTGCCCGCGTGGCCGAGTTCAATGCCAAGCGCAAGGACCGCGAGGCGGCGAAGCAGGATGCCGAGCCGGAAGATGGTGAGGTGGAGGAAGAGGCCAAGGCAGAATGGGGGAACTCAATCTATCGGGTCAAATTCCCTGGAGATACGCCGGAGGATGGCATCTTCAGGCCGCCGTTTGGATGGAAGTATAGCTACTTTATGGAGGAAGCGGTGGGCGAGATCCCGGAGTATGTGGTGCCGTGGGAGGCGTTCCGAGCGTGAGTCCATGCCATAGATCCACGAACTATGGATTACGATACTGATGAAGCAGGTTGACGGAGGAATACAATCTGGAGCTGCAGTACCGCAAGCCGTTCATGGAGGTGTGGCGGGATGAGAAGGACGATCCGGAGCTGGGGCCGTTGAGCGAGCGGATGGGCGTGAGAGATCGCACGACGGGCGAATTGACGATGACGCCGGAGGAGCAGGAGGCAGTCAGTGAGTAGATTCCTTTACTGCAGCTGGAGAGGGTGGAACGCTAACAAGATAGGTTTTTACCATGCGTTTTGCTTCTACAAGGTGTAGATGGATACATAGTATTAGAATGAGGGTAAATAGATGTAATGGACATGAAATGTATTTACTGAAAATTAACTATCATATAGCTACGGAGTACTCCATACTCCATCCTATACATAAAAATGTAGTTGCAATGATATCGATAAGATAAAGAAACCCTCTTAAGACCATACTTCCCAAAACAGCCTAGCGCCACGCATCGCATCGCGTCGGCGCGTCTTTCAACTTATCTTTATCCATCAGCCAATCTTTAGCCTCAAAGAAACATACAACAAAGAAACCTACACCATATACTACTATACCACATATCCTCCTTCCTCCACACCCACACCCACTTGAACTTACACTCACCACACCATACCACCCCCTCATTCTCACTCACTCACTCACTCACTCACTCACTCACCTCAACGAAAAGAAAAGAAAAGAAAAGCAAAATGCCCAAACGACCCACCACCACTCCCCGAAGAAGAGACCGAGAACAAGACCGAGAATCAACCCCCCCTCTCCCCCCCTACGAACCCCCAACCAGCACCCTAACCACCCTATCGCACCAACCCACCACCGCCCCCGCCCTCTCCGCCCTCCTCGCAACACACACCTCCTCCACCCTAAGAACACATCTCCAGCACGCGCAGGAGAAACTCACCGATGCGGCGGGGGAGATCAACGAGCGGTTAACGGATGCGAAGGAACGGAGTAAGAAGGCCAAAGAACGGAGAATGAATCTACGTTCTCATACCGAAGAAAATAATATCGGAGAGGGGGGAGAAGAAGGGAATGGAAGTGAGGAGGAGGAAGAGGAGGAGGGTGGGGATGGAATTGAAGAGTTCGAAGAGAGAGTGAAAGCGACGACGAAGATCCTGGAGGAGACGATTCGAGGGGTTATTGATAAGGAGGTTAGGGGAGAAGAGGTGGGAAGGGTTATTGCGGGGTTGGAGGGGGGTGTTGTTGAACGGATGAGGGTTAGGGGGGTGAGGAGGAGTCAGAGGGGGGTGCAGTTGAGGAGGAGGTTGAGGGGTGATGGTAGTGAGGAGGAAGAAGAAGAGGGTGGGGAAGAGGAGGGTGTGGATGTAGATGAGGATGAAGAGGGCGCGGTACCGTTCCTGGCGCAGTTCGAGGATGAGTTACGGGGCAAGATGGAGGAGTATAATGGGTTGAGTTTGACGAGACGGTATTTCCCCCCGAATCCATATTATATTGCCATATTTTGCCAGGTTACTAACACAGATTCTTTGTGGCAGCTACACAACCAACAACTCCTACATCGGCTTCTACAAAATCATCCACGAAGCGAAACACATCGGCGACGAGATCCCTCCTCCACCTCACCCATCAACCTGGTTCTCTCATCTGGAAGATCCCCATTCACAATCCCAACCACATCACCATCCATCTACCACATCCACCACCACCACATCTACATCCACCAGACAAACCAAAACCACCACCACCACCCGCTCTCACCCCCGTCCCTCCCCCTTCCCATCTGCTTCCGAAGACGACGAAATCGCCATCCAAACCGAACGCATCTCCCTAAAATGTCCACTGACGCTGCTCCCCTTCCGCGACCCCGTCAGCAGCACGAAATGCCCACACAGTTTCGAGCGCGAGGCGATATTCACCATGATCAGCGGGAGTAATCAGATGGTGCCTGATCCGCGGGGATCATCTGGATCTGGATCTGGAGGAGGTGGTGGTGGTGGTGGAAGGGCAAGGAAGCGCGTGCGCAGCGTCAAGTGTCCCGTGTGTGAGGTGCAGTTGACGGAGTTTGATCTGCGGAGTGATCCTGTGTTGGTGAGACGGGTGAAGAGGGCGGAGATGGCGGAGTTGAGGGAGAGGGAGAGGGAGATGTTGGGGGAGAATCAGGATCATGATGGTAATGATCAAGGTGAGGTGGGGGGTGGGGGGAAGAGGAAGAGGAGTGGGAGGAGGGGGAGTGCGGTTGAGGTTGATGATGGTGATAGTGGTGATGATGATGATGATGATGATGGGGAGGAGAGGATTAGAGTTAAGAGGGAGAGAGGTATGTCTGTTGCTGCTGCTGCTGCTAGGATTAAGCAGGAGAGGGCGGGGTCGATGGTCGGTGTTGAGGAAGTTGATTTGGATGGAGAGGAAGAAGGGGAAGGGTATGATTCTATGTATGATGAGTGATTTACTTACAGTTACTTGAGTACTGCCCTCAGAGTAGACTTTTTATTGCCTATCTCTATTTAAATCACTAAGTAGCTGCAAAACACGGGTATAATAAGTACAAACAGCCATTGAAACAACAACAACAACCATCCATCGAAACACCATCCTCCATCCACAATCATTAAGGCGTTTCGATCTTCTCCTGCATCTGTTCCAGACAGTGCAACCAGATCCGCACCTGTGCAATAATCATCATTCAACTGACAGAAACCGCGGCACTGAAGTCAAGTTGTCGACAAGCGAAACATCGTACTGAATCACTGGCACCCTACTTGGTAATCAAGTTCAGATAATCGGCCACGATAAGCGTCACCATCCTGTGGGTCTGGGGTTAGCCAACGGCACTACTAAGTGACTAGTAACAGCAAAAGGTGGAGACACTAACGCATGAGGAGCGATCCGCACATAGTACGTTCCGAAACCGCGGTAGAACCGCAACCAGCCCTCCTCCTGGACGACCTTGCGCGCGCAATCCAAGACGCCCTTGTAAGGGAGCTGACCGGTCTTGGGATCCTTCTGCTGCTTCTGCAGACGAGTCTTGACAAAGTCGAAAGGCAGGGAGAGGAAACTGGCGAAGAATCCGGCAATAGCGGACGCGGCAAAGGTCTGGTTCTGAGTCGACAGGCTAGTATGCTTCTTCAGCTGGGCCTTGGACTCGGCAAAGAAGGTCAACTGGCCGACGTTGAGTGCCATGGCACGGATAACGGTGGGGAAAGCACCCGCCCACAGAGCCGGGACACCTTCGTGCTTGGAGATGCGGAAGAGCGCGTCCATGACGGAGCGGTAGTTGGCCCGCGCCTCGGGAGGCTTGAGACCGTCGGACTGCATCCGCACCAGCGCCAGATCGGCCGGGTTGCCAATCATGGCGGCAATACCTCCGGCAGCGAGACCGGCTCCAGCACGTTCGGCGAAGGTGACGCTGCGGTTGGCGGCTTCGGCACGCTTGTTGAGAGTCTTGCTGAAGGTGTCGAAGAATCCCAGGCGGGCGGTGGTGTAGACGGCCTGGCGTAGCAGTCCAGCCGACAGGCCGGTGTACAGATCAAGGGCCTTGCCTGAGGCAATGATGTCGCGGGCCACGCCAAAGGCAGACGGGCGAGGACCGGTGCGCACACCTTCACCAGCGAGCTGCAGACGGACTTTGATCATGTCGATGGGCTGGATCACGACCGTGGCGGTCATGCCGGCAAGGCCACCGTTCACGAAGGGAAGAGCAGCGCGGGTGTAAGGGTGATGGAGGAAATCCATGGCGGGCTGGGGCTCTTTGGCCGCGGTGGGGGAGGCCATGTTGACGAGGAAGCAGGATTCACACCAGATCTAGAGAGGTGAACGAGGGTTAATGCGGAGACTTTTGAGGAGTGAGGGCGGATGAGACGCGCCGAACAAAGGATTTAAGAGGAGGAACACAGATGAACGAAGGATGAAACGCGAATCAACAGATAACACGATACGCGGTGGGGGCAGGGAGAAAAGACCATCTAGCCATAAGGATACGAAGTGCCTGGCGGAGCAAAGAAAAGACAGATTTTCTTTGCCAGGCACTCAGCATGACCGACCGTGACGTGAAAAGGGCGGGAGGGGAGATTCAACGTACCGTGGAAGCACAGCTGGGCAATGAGGGGAACCCGGTCGAAGTCACGAAAAGGCCCGACGAGAATGAGTAGGAAGTGGTGAACCGGTTTTTGAGGAGGAGTAGAACAAGTTGGAACAGTCAGATGATGGGGGGAAAGGAAGAAGTGAGGAGGCGAGAGAGTGTGTGTGTGCAGTGAATGGATTAATTTTGTTGCAAGGTTGTACAACTGGAAGCAAGCAAGCAAGCAAGTATCTTGGGTGGGTTGATTCTGATACTTATAATAACTTGACGCATGAGTCAAGGTAGCATTGACGGGGATTCGATGATGTATTTGTATGCCATTGATTCTATCCGAGAAGCCGACCAGGAAAACCAGCAGTAAGTAGTAAGTAATTCCTTGACTGACACTTTCGAATAATCTTCTCCAGACTGGGCAACTGTTTCCATCCCCACTTTGTTAGCCGATGCCAAACTTAGGGCCCGAGCGATCGATGAGGATTCAGTAGTATATTATTTAGTAGTAAGTATTGGGAGAGTAGTTAGTTGCTGCACGATGCCGCCAGCTGGAAAATGCGGGGTTGCCACGTCTGATGATATTCCTTTCATATGATGTTGTGTCTATGATGAAGTTGTTATTCTTGTCTCTACTGATAGATAACTGTCTCTCTCTCTTCTCATAATAGTATGATGTATTTCCAAACCTGCCGTGTATTGCAAATATTCAACATATTAAGAAATAGATACAAAACAGCAAGCTAATACCAAAACGTCATGGCGGGGAATAATCATCCATCATACGTACATAAAGTAATTACCGTAATCTCCCCACACCCACACTAAACCTAATCGGGTCTAACCACGAGAACGGTCCGGTTTGCGCTGCTTCTTGCCGCCTTCCCGAGGTTATCTCCTGTCTCCTCTTTCCCCAGTTTGCCAAGTAGGTTAGTAATGTCGGTAGTAATGCTACTTGAATAATAATATTATTATTTTTTTTCCCAAAGCTTGGTCTCGTCGATCAGTCTAAGGTAGGTACTGTCTGTCACTTCGGAGATATCTGGTCGTATAACATATTCTTTTTTCAACTTCACCAAACAACTAGGATACTCATTAGCTACCGTTGAGAATACTAGTAGAGAAACAGCAATTAGAAACATGATATCACTCACAACATCATGTGCAATAACAATAATGCACCCCCGGAATAATCATATTCAGATCTCCCACTATATACTGGATTATCTCCTTTCTCCCGATTCCTCCGACTTTCGGCCCTTCCCCTGTGCTGCCTGCCACTGTCAGCCGGAGAAGATCTCCTCCGTCCTCACTCCAGTGACAATGTGGTGACTACGCACTTCAGTGGCGTAGCAACTATGATCGTATCGCAGGGTCCCAGTCAAGTAGCTGGCAAGGTGGATGACTCGGTTGGAAGGGTATGTTGGCTGTATGCCGGAGCACTGATCTCCTAGCCCGCTGTCTCTCCAGGAGTCACCAGGTTGTTGGGAATCTACATCTACCTACAACAACAGACCCATCAAACCTAGCTAGTTAGTAGTAATACACGTCGTATCGGAATTACAATTCCAAAAAGGGTCCTCCCTATCCCCAACTATCCCAATGGGACTCAACTTTCCCCATACTGCATCCTAGATAGTGGATGAACTGGGGCGACGGATACCTTCGCGGCAACCACTCCCCCCTGGCGGCAGCACATCTCGGGATCCCGGAGCGGGTGAGGCGGGTATCGGTAGTCGCGCGCGGTGAGATTCACTTCTATCCCTCGGGTACTCTCCCGGGACAGACCCAGCAAGGAGTAATCAGCAGCGTGCTGACTGGCCGGTTACCCTGTCAAGAGGCCCAGGCCCCCAGGCGGATTAGCTACTGGGGCTTAGACTACGATCCTGTTTGTGGGGACTATCTGCCACAAGCGAGCTGCAAAGAAAACAGCCGATTCTCGCTGGAATTCCCGTCTCATATCGGAGTATTGTCCTCTGCAGGCCATCATCTCTTCATCTGGCGGCCTATATTGCTCCTTGTATCCGGCGGAATAGCCGACTCGGTCTATCTTCTGCTGTGTGTGCCCGCGCGGCCGAAATTGATTGACCGGCCTTGTTCTTGCTGATGATGTGGTCGTAAAGTTGGAATCTCTGCGCGTTCGTTCGCCCAATGCCAGCCCCGCGTGCCCTGGCCCCATCATTGCGGCGGTCACAGCTGGCCGTCGCATGTCGTAGCTCTCCACATGATACTTGCCAACGTCATCTGGAGCTCCAACTGCGCTATATGTCGCCCAATGCACGCACGCGTGCCTTGCGAGAATGGTGCTGTACGCCGCCGAGCTAAATCCGAGATTGATGTGTCTTTGACTCTGCTTTGCTGGGCAGCCATCGTTCTGGGGGTATGTGTTTGGCGAGGGCAATACAGCAGGCTGTGGATACTATAAAATGCCTGTGCCGACGCTGCACCCGTCTAGGATCTGATTGTGTCGTCTTCCTCAACCCGACGGTACGGTCATCTTGCCACGGCTGGTTAGATGCGTAGCTTCTCCTTGTTGCAGGCTTGATTGTATGCACATTGCTGCATCAATGGGCCGCTGCGGATATCGCTGCCGTGGGAAATTCGTTCCGTATTTCGTATGCCAGTTTCTCGTATGCATGAGGTAGTTGCGAGGTTGAAGACTCGCGCATAGGCTGACGGAAGTAGAATCCGAATCTGAGTACTAGCATCTACCGAAACAGGAGATCAACCGATTGAAGACGCGTATTGACATACTCGCCGCGTCTACCATCGAATTATTGACCACACGATGATAGCGCGAGGTATGGTACACCGTACATCAGAACTGCTGGCTACCAAGCAGATTACAAGCCTGCCGAATACACGATCGATGATTACATCGAACGCCAAGCAGCTGCAGGAGGTAGGGCACCCAGGTGTCAAGGGAAATCTTTCCATGTTGTTGTCCCAGTAGTCCTATGAATATATATCGTAAAGAGGTAGGGGCATTAGCTTGTTGACGTTCTGATGTCTGCTTTTCCCCCCTGTTTAAGTCGGAGGACCAGGGGTGAAAACATAATCCTGATGGCACGGCACGTAGCATGTAATAAGTTTAAGAGAAGCAACTTAAGTATAGGCCAGTCATTGCAAAGTCTCTCCTCGGAGATTGAAGTACATCGGTTGATGCAAGCCTACAGAGCTCATTCGCGTCAGCGTGCAGCTTGCAATTAGATTTGCATGTTCAAACTTAAGGTGGAATGAGGTTGGCTGAGAAACGACTTGATGTGAAACTTGTTAGACTTGTTGGCTATAAGCAGTTGCGATTGCAGATGGCATAGAATGGAGAGCAGCGTTGCAGAGAAGAAGGAACAAGTCGGAGACGCTAAACGGCGATCACATGTGGAGTCAGAGATCGACCCCTGTTCATGCCCGTGACCCCGCTGTAGATTCAAGGCTTGCTACGGTGATTCTCTTACAGTTTCACTTTAAGTGGTAGATAGTTGAAGGTATATTTCGAATTCAATTTCTAATTGTTACCGCGACTTCTAAAGAAGCCAAAACCCAAAAGGAAATGCCAATGGTATTTTCCCCGCCGGCCGGGGTAGGCCACACACATGGTAGTGGAAGATTCAAATGACCCATGATTGGAAACGCAGCACGCCATGCAAGATATCAAAAGCAGATAAAAGGAAATGGAAAAACAAAATGGGAAACAATTTACTGAGGCACCGGACCGGCCGCAATGACCTCGGGCGTCGCTTGGTCAGCGTACTTGCCGAAGTTGTCGTTGAACAGCTTGGCAAGCTTGTTGACCTCGTCGGAGAAGTTCGTCGAGGCGGTCCAGCTGTTCTTGGGGTTGAGGAGCTCGGAAGGAACACCGGGGCAGCTCTTGGGAACGTGCAGGTTGAACACATCGTAGGTCTCGTACTCAACCTGGTTGAGGGAGCCGTTGTGGATGGCGTCCAGGATGGCACGGGTGTACTTGAGAGGGCAACGCTTACCACCGGTGGTAGCGCCAGCACCAACCCAACCGGTGTTGAGCAGCCAGGCGTTGGCCTTGTGCTGCGAGATCTTGTCCGCCAACATGCGGGCGTAGCGCATAGGGTGCAGGGCCAGGAAGGGCTGGGCGAAGCAGGAGGAGAAGGTAGCCTGGGGCTCGGTGACACCGTCCTCAGTACCAGCCATCTTGGAGGTGTAACCCGAGATGAAGTGGAACATGGTCTGCTCGGTGGTAAGCTTGGAGATCGGGGGAAGGACACCACGGGCGTCGCAGGTGAGGAGGATGATGTTCGAGGGGTGCTTGTCGGACAAGCAGGGGATCTTGGCGTTCTCAATGTACTCAATGGGGTAGGCACAGCGGGTGTTCTCAGTAAGGGTAGAGTCGTCGTAGTTGACAACACGGGAGATGGGGTCGAAAACAACGTTCTCGAGGACGGATCCGAAGCGGATGGCGTTGAAAATATCGGGCTCCTTCTCGGCGGAGAGGCCAATGCACTTGGCGTAGCAGCCACCCTCGATGTTGAAGACACCACGGTCGGTCCAGCAGTGCTCGTCGTCACCGATCAGGGCACGGTTGGGGTCGGCAGAGAGAGTGGTCTTGCCAGTACCCGAGAGACCGAAGAAGACGGTCACGTCGCCATCCTTGCCCTCGTTGGCCGATGAGTGAAGGGTCAGGACGTTGTGCTTGACGGGCATCTCGTAGAAGAGGACGGTGAAGACACCCTTCTTCATCTCACCAGCGTACTCGGTACCCAGGATGACCATCTCC